CAAAAAGCATAGACTATAGCACATGATTTTGATCGATTTTGGACCATTTTCACACCTTTTTAAAAAATGTTCTTTATTTATGAAGAACGCAAAATAGGTCAATTTGGGCCAATTCTGACCAAAAAGCATAGACTATAGCCCATGGTTTTGAACGATTTTGCACCATTTTCACACCTTTTCCAAAGTTATGCATTATTTATGAAGATTGAAAAATAGGTCAAATTGGGCCATTTCTGACCAAAAAGCATAGACTATAGCCCATGGTTTTGATCGATTTTGGTCCATTTTCACACCTTTTAAAAAAATTTTCTTTATTTATGAAGAACGCAATATAGGTCAATTTGGGCATTTCTGACCAAAAAGCATAGACTATAGCACATGGTTTTGAACGATTTTGCAACATTTTCACATGTTTTCCAAAGTTATGCATTATTTATGAAGAATGCAAAATAGGTCAATTTTGGCTATTTCTGACCAAAAAGCACTGACAATAGTCCATGGTTTGTTCAATTTTGTCTTATTATCATACCTTTTCCAAAATTATGCATTATTTATGAAGAATGCATAATAGTTCACTTTGGGCCATTTCTGACCAAAAAGCATAAACTATAGCCCATGGTTTTGTTCAATTTTGGACCATTCTCACGCCTTTCCCAAAATTTCGAAGCCGAGAATAAGGCTTAAATAACCAACGGTGATTTTTTAGTTAACCTGGTTATTTCAAAGCCGAAAATGAGGCTAAAATAACCAACGATGATTTTTTTGTTACCTTGGTTATTTCGAAGCCGAAAATGAAGCTAAAATAACCAACGGTGATGTTTTTGTTACCTTGGTTATTTCGAAGGCGAAAATGAAGCGAAATAACCAACGGTGATTTTTTTGCTACCTTGGTTATTTCGAAGCCAAAAATAAAGCTAAAATAACCAACGGTGATTTGTTTGTTACCTTGGTTATTTCGAGGCCAAAAAATGAAGCTAAAATAACCACGATCGTCTTTTTTCTTGCCCTGGTTATTTCGAAAACAAAAACGAAGCTAAAATAACCACGATCGTCTTTTTTCTTACCCTGGT